TATACGTATGGACGTTTATGTAACACGTATGCCCAGAGCGAAAAATTTCTTGCTAAGGAAATTTCTTGGCTCCAGTAAAATTGATTTTATAAGAATCATCAGTGTTGCAATCCAAGTGACGGCAAGTTAATATCAAGGGAAAATAATTTAATGTACGAAATTGGTCTCGAGCGTTGAGAATATATATTAATGGAAGTTATCTCATGTTTCGGATGGATTGTTGTATTGAATCAGACACACTGGTAATTCTATTAAATTGTAGTATGTTACAAGAATGTTATTAATTCTTTCAAAGTCTTTCACTTTTCGAAGTGAATCAACTATCCTCGCCAAAAGATTTATAAATAAAAACGGTAACGACGATAAGTCACGCAGACTCTGTGAATTGATTACTGTTTTTGCAATTTGCCTTAATTTCACTTGCTCCTATTCTATGGATAGGGGCCAGTAGAGATCTATCTCGCATCATTGAGATAACAGAAAGTTAATCATTTCAAGTCCAGAGTGATCGAGCATTCTACAATTCCTAGAAGCATNATTCAATATGGGAGCAAAACGTGTGATTTTGATTATAAATATTTTTTAATTTATGAACATATAATAAAAATGCATTTTTTACTTCACGATTATTACCGGACACTTCATTTGGTATCAAAAACACGACAAATTGTTGTAATATTTTCGTTCCGCTAATTCATTATGGGAGCAAAACGTGTGATTTTGATTTTGAATATTTTTAAAACGTTTATAATGTATTCGGTAGATAATATTTAAAAAATGCTGATATTAAAATGAAACGAAATGTTTTGTAAATCTGTTAGAAAAATATGATGAAAACACGTGGAGCTAATATTATACAAATATTATAAAGCTAATATTCTAAAGAAAACGTTCTGCAAATCTTTGAAATGTCTCGTAAATACTTATAAAATGTTACGTTACGGTATTCGTTAAATATATAGAAAATAGAGGACAAATATTTTGTGCTACTATGAATGTAATATTTAAAGAGGAACAATACAAACTTTTTTTGTGCTGTATTTGAGAAAGATTCAACGCTTTCGAGAATGTTAACAAAAGTAACGCCATATACGAATTTCATCTTAGACGTGGACTACGTTGAAAATTCACAATAGTTCACATTATAGCCGACGTCATCGGTTAAATGCATATACGCGAAAAGGAGAGCCAGCCGAAGCGACCCATGTTCCATGCTCCCCCACCAGTGCCACCAATACTTTTTATATCTCGATTAATTTCATTTGAAAATAAACTTATACAAACGATCATAAAATCAAAAACTCACATAAAACAAAAAACGTGTAATAAATGACTCGAATATCAAATTTATAATTCTTCTACGCAATTTAATAAAATAACAATATGATGTTATGAAATTATAAATTGGTATAGAGTTATATAATGAATGTATGCTAATTCACTGTTAAGACATCAAATTTGTAATTTTACTACAACAATGCGTACTAAAAGTGTATGAACTTTATGACTTTCTTTAATCCGCATGACTTTCCTTTATGACTTTCCTTAATCCGTATACCGCCTATAGCGTGCTTATGAGAGAGATGGCCATAGCAGGGGTTGCCGATGGGGGGCGAGGGGACCAAACCCACCTGCTCGATCCCACGCGGCCGCAGGGCACGCGATTTGCCGATTTCTCGCCCGCGCTCGCTCTTGGCTCCACGTTGTAACGCTCTTCTGTCAAGAGACCAGGTGACACGACGGGCAAATTCAAACGCGCTCCTCGATACGCAATGTCTCCTGTTCTACAGGGATCGAGTGCGAATCCATGCGAGTAATCGACGATGGCAATAGTTGCAGCGGAAATAATGAGATGTCCATTTTAATGAATAAATAAATGCACTGGTTAACGAATCGGTTATCTTATCAATTAAATAATGAATTTAATGGCGTATTCACGTTTTTTTACAAGTATTTTTGTATTCATGAAGAACCACTTGTCGCATAAAGTGGAAGAATTTAATGATTCCAAGTTAAGACCGGGCGGGCATTATTCGGGATGTTATTTCAAGCGTCTTGATACGGAATCTCATTGCACCATATTTCAGAGCAATTCGGCCACTTGAAAAGTTTTAACAATTAATAACGCTGTATGCCTTTGATATTTGGGTCGCAGAATTACTCTGACGATTCGCAAGGTCCCGATTTTCTAACCGAAGTCCTCGGTTAAATGCATAATTGCGACGGAGGAGCACCGGAAACCCATCCGGAGTCCAGCTCGGCCGATCGCCGGCGATTCATGGATCCGCGGGGCGGGGAGGCGAGACGCACACTCTCTGTCCTTCATTTTCCGTTCTCGAGAGCGTGCGTCCGAGAGAGATAGCCGTTTTAATTCGCCATCCCTTTCCCCGGTTTGAGACAGATATATGAATCGCCGGTACCCCGAAGTGACAGGAATGGCTTACCGGTGGGGGAGAGGGGACCCTGCCTCTCTGCCGCGACCCGCTCACGTCCACGTGGTTCATGGCTCGCCGATGTCTTGCCCGCGCTCGTTCTTTAGCCTAGATTGTCACTCTTCGAGCCTTCCCGCCGCATGCTTGCACCAATCAGGGCGAAGAGCGAGGGTTCTCAGTCGTCCGACTTCATTCTCCGTTATTATACGTGTTATAGAAATTAATAATTTCGTGCTATGCTCGAATGTTAGTCCGTCTGGTCGGAGTAATAAATAAGGCGGCGAAATTTTCAAAGAAATATATTGTGTGCGTATGTGTGTGTGTGTATTTATACGCATGGAAAATCTACTTTCGGATACATGAAATAACGAAACGTATTACATTAATTTATTTATTTATTTTCGTTTATTCAATTGCGCGAGGATATAATACATATGTATAGAACGTATGCGCGTTGTATCCCACGTCCACAAATTAAGATAATGCAAGTTTTACTATTTCAACTGATGGAATAAAGATTAATTAACGGAATTTGTTATATTACGAGTACTGTTTAAACTTTAATGCAAAGGGTTTGCCAGCTGATTCACTAATAAATTGATAAACCTTTGTCAATTCGGACTTGAACGTATAATTTTTACGTTCCGGTTGGCGGTTGCGGAATAAAATTTATAAAATATATGAAATTCGTTACAGAATCAACTTTTATTACGTTTCCTACAATTTATTTTATTTACAAACATCAAATTTCTTATAAACATTCACTACAGCCTTCTATCCAATTTAAACTTGCCGCTGCTGCAGTTCGTGGTACCCGACCCCACCACCTGGCGGCGCCATATACAGGAGGAAGGCATTCTTGTTCGCCAGTGTACCTCCGTCAATTCCACTGTACCTCCAAAGCCTGTAGCGAAACAGCAAGTTAGAAACAATGGGCAGAGTGCAAAGTCCTTTCAGGCGCCGCGAACGCATGCCTTTGCCACAATATCCGAACCAAGTTGTGCAATATGCAAAGAATCGCACCCGATCTATCGATGTGAGAAATTTCTAAGTCAATCCATAGCAGAATGTATTGAATCGGCAAAGAATGGATCTCTTTGCTTAGATTGTTTATGGCAGAGGCATAGAGCTGCACTGTGCAAAGCCAGCCATTGTCTAACCTGCAAAAAACGGCATAATACTCTTCTTCATTTGCCAACCGTTACACCATCTTTGCAGAACGCCTCCTGACTAAACAAATCAACGTCATTATGCAGCCCCACAACGACCAATTTAATGGCAAACGCATTCTCCACGGAACTATTAGCAACAGCAATACTTCATGTAATAAACAAGGAGGGGAGACCAGTGCGTTGTCGAACCTTGCTTGACACTTGCTCAAATTCGAGCTTCATCACGGAACGATTGGTTGCTTCTCTCCAGCTTCCGAGATAAAATTGCAGCATCCGAATTGCAGGTGTAAATGGCTTTAAAACAGTAACCAATCATGTGGTCACGGCTACCATTCAGTCTCGACACAACAAGTATTCGAGAACATTGAGCTTCCTCACCGTTCCACACATCTCAGGGCTCTTGCCCGCTCAACAAGTTGAGCGCACTCATCTTTCAATTCCCAGAAATTTTAAACTAGCCGACCCAACTTTCTATCTGCCAGCTGAAGTCGATATGCTGATCAGCACTGCCCCGGTCCTATCGATGTTATGTATCGGACAATTCGATCTACCGACCACAAATGGACCAGACTTGATTTTACAAAAACACATTTAGGATGGGTTATCGGCGGCAATGTGCCTTCTGTTGCATCATCATCGAGGCACCATCAAACCTATCTTTCAAATTCGATCGCCTTCGATTTGACTAAATTTTGGGAAATTGAAGAAGTAAGCAGTACTCCACATTTATCGCAAGAGGAAGCCGCATGCGAGCGACACTTCCAAGACAATGTGAGGCGTAATGAAACTGGTCGGTATGTTGTGGCATTGCCATTCAATGAAAGGAAATCATCGTTAGGGAGCTCACGACAGATGGCACTGGAACGATTGAATACATTGGACAGAAAATTCACACTAGATCCTGAATTGCAATCAATACGAGCCCGTAATTGAGGAATACATTGAATTAGAACACATGTCGGAAATGCCGCAGCATCAGGAAAGGTAAGGCGAAGGCATGTATCTCCCACACCATGCTGTAATCAAAGAATCTAGCGCTACCACCAAGGTTCGCGTGGTCTTTGACGGCTCCGCCAAATCAAGCAGCGGATTGTCATTGAACGACACTCTTATGGTAGGACCGACAATTCAAGATAATATTTTCGCGTTAACACTGAGATTTCGCACACACAATTATGTACTTCTCCGCGATATAGAGAAAATGTATCGACAGACGCTAATTCGTGATGCTGACCGAGAATACCAAAAAATATTATGGCAGGACTCAGAAGGAATCATCCTGGCTTATCGACTGAACACGGTTACGTTCGGATTGGCTTGCGCTCCATTTTTACCGATCCGCAGTCTCGTTTAATTACTCGACGATGAAGGTCATAAATTCCCGCTTGCCGCTAAGATGTTGCGACGAGATATGTATGTCGATGACATATTCACGGGTACCTCAACCATCGAAGAAGTCATCCAATTGCCGGATGAGTCCATTGAAATTCTTCGACTTGGTGGACTTCATGTTCGTCAATGGGCTTCAAATGCACCTGAACTCATGAATGGGTTGTCAAAAGAAAACATTAATTTTCAGCTTCACGATGGCTCAAATGCCACCCTCAAAACACTCGGATTACACTAGAATTCGACACAAGATGTGATAGTGTATTCCGTAAAGCCCATTCATATTCAAGAAAAGGTAACCAAACGCACAATATTGTCCGAAATCGCTAAAATCTTTGATTCGTTGGGATTGCTCGGACCAGTCATTGTGATTGCCACGATCATCATGCAAAAAATTTGGCAATTAAAATTAAATTGGGATGAATCAGTCCCTAATAGCATCCATATAGAATGGACCAATTACATCTCGCAACTTTCCACGCTCAATAATGTAGCATTACCTAGGAAAATCATTCCACTTCACGCACAACGAATTGAGCTTCACGGATTCTGCGACGCCAGCGAACGAGCGTATGGAGCATGCATCTACGCGAGAGCAACTCAAGGTAATGGAAGTCATAAAACAACCTTGCTCTGCGCAAAATCTCGGGTAGCACCGCTAAAACCTGTCTCTCTACCGCGTTTAGAACTCTACGGGTCAGTTTTACTGACTAATTTGTACACTACAGTTCGAAAAGCTTTATTCATCGAAATAGATAATGTTGTCTTTTGGTCAGATTCCACCACAATGCTCCATTGGATCAATGCCTCTCCACATACATTAAAGAGTTTTGTTGCTAACCTTGTCGCCGAAATACAGAAGAAAACTCACGTTGGAAATTGGAAGCACGTCAGAACCCATGATAATCCAGCCGATGCATTATCAAGAGGACGATTACCGAACCAATTCATTCAAGATCGATCTTGGCAGATTGGTCCATCATGGTTAAATCAAGATGAATCCTTTTGGCCAGTGTTCTCTCTCACACCGATTGTCGAACTCCCGGAATCACGAAACATCAATTGCTTTATTACGGACGCTGCCGGAAACCAATTTCTGGACAATTATTTTTCAATACGCAAATTACGACGTATTGTCGCATATTGTCTTCGTTTCAAAGGAGACAACAAATTTAAGGGCAAACTGGTAGCCGAAGAACTGGATTTAGCCAACATTTGAATTGTCAAGCTTGTTCAAAACATGGGCATTCGCGAATGAACTAACGGCTTTGCAAAGAGGCGAGCCTCTCCATTGCAAGAGCATGCTCAAAACATTAAATCCTTTTCTAGACAGTGATGGTTTAATAAGAGTAGGTGGGAGACTAAGCAACTCCGACGTACCATATTCACAGCATCATCCCATTGTCTTACCAAAATCGGACCATATCACTTCACTCATCATACGAGACGCACATCTTCGCAATCATCATTCTGGGATTCAGACAACTCTGTATGCAATTCGCCGAAAATACTGGCTGCTCGATGGGCGAAATCAAGTTCAGAGGATAATTCGACTATGCGTTCGATGTTTTCGCGCCAAACCCGCAATTCCGGATTACGTCATGGGAGATCTCCCACGTATTCGCATCCATTTTACCACGTTGGAGTCGATTATTGTGGACCATTTTTTATAAAGGAAAAAAAACACCGGAATCGAAATCGCATAAAGATCTATGTGGCGGTATTCGTCTGTCTCGTCGTAAAGGCGGTCCATTTTGAAATCGTTAGCGATCTCACCACAGAGGGTTTCATCGCAGCATTACGCAGATTTATGGCGAAAAGGGGAAAATGCAGAATTATCTATTCCGACAATGGAACCAATTTCGTAGGGACACATAACGAATTAAAGGAAATCTACGCTTTATTTCAGTCGAAACACATAATAATTGTGTTAAACATTATTTAGCAGACGAAGTCATCTCGTGGCAGTTCATACGGCCATCGTCGCCCCACTTTGGCGGACTATGGGAATCCGCAGTTAAAGGCTTTAAGCATCACATGAGAAGAGTCGTAGGTGATCAATTGTTCACATTCGAAGAATTTAACACCTTCGTGATCGAGGTTGAAGCCATTTTGAATTCCCGTCCATTAACTCCTATATCCACAGATCCTAATGACATCATTGTCCTCACACCTGGTCATTTTTTAATTGGCGATTCGTTAACGAGCATACCCGAGTCTGACTTTAGGTCCACAGCATCCAATAGGCTGTCCAATTGGCAACATATCCAGAAAGTCAAACAAGACTTTTGGACTCGTTGGCACAAGGAGTACCTCAACGAGTTAAACGTTCGCCACAAATGGACCAGAGGCGAACACAACATCAAGGAGGGCTCAATTGTCCTCATCAAAGAAGACAACCTTCCCCCGATGCAGTGGGCCCTGGGAAGGGTGATAAACGTCAAACCAGGGAAGGATGGCATCGTTCGAGCAGTCACAGTGAAAACTGTGACTAACGCCCTGGATCGTTGCGTCAAGAAACTTGCCCCTCTACCTATTGAGGGATAGACACTAAATGCTTAGATAAGGTTGTTACGGGGCGGCCGAGCGGATGCGAGGCCGGGGTAATTCGGATGGAGATTACCCAAATCTTGCGCGTAACGATTATATTAAGTTTGTGAGGAGATTGATCCGAGCGGCTAGATTAATTCCTCTGGTGGGATCTAGGAGAGTGAGGAATAGAAAAGGGGGTGCGGACGAATGGCTATGTGGCTATTGTATTAAGATTTGCGTTTATTCTTACGTGAGGTCTGAACTACAATCAGCTGGAAGGGCACCGGAGGTGCCTTGACCTAATTTCTCTAGATTAATATACTTCCGCGTCGCGGCGGTTCGGGTGTCGCGATAGCGCGCTTGATTCATTAACTTCAACCAGTCAATTCTCAATAAGAGAACGTCGCATACGGATTTCAACAGAAATCACCCGACCATAAGAGCAGCTTTGCTCAGGTCCATATTTATTTAAAAACCAGCCGTACAAAATTAAGTTGGCGTACGATCGTCGCGTTATCGTCGTGTTCGCGAGTTTAATTGCAAATCGCGAGGTCTCGAATTTACGCTCCGAGGACAGCAACAAACGCTCACATGAACCACGCGACGGTACACTGTGAATACCTGATTTTTCCTTTGTCCTTTATTCAGCTAACGATAAAAGAAAGCGAAATCTTATCCCTATCAATTCCCTCCAAAAAATAGACCGGAATGGGATTGAAAAATACGGGAATAGGAATAGAAGCAATGGAATAGGAATAGAAGCAATGGAATAGGAATTTTAATACTCTTTGTAGAATTGAAACAAATTTTTTATTTATTAAAATTACAGAGGTAACTGATTACTGCATACATTGCACGAAATTATTATATCACGTCGAATTTTTTAACCTGACTTCGTAACTTTGCATCTTGTTCATAAATTAACTTGACGTTACTTGAGTCGAATTATGGCCCTTCTTTGAACCTATATAACTTAAGTAAGACCTCTCTTATTTCTATTTCACTCTACGAGTTCTGCTTTCGATCTTGTACATCTTGCTTTATTCAAATTAAGGTAATGTAAAAGTAGCGTCAAAAAGGTATCCTCTATGAAACTTTTCTCCGAACTGGGTGTGCCAAATCGTTTCAAACTTTACAGTGTAAATGTGAAAACTACAGGGAAGGTTCTGGCATCTATTCAATTTCAATTTCATAAAATTTGTTTATAGACATTTTAAACATTCTGTATAAAAATTGAAATTTCATGAGTGTCAGGACTCTTCGTTATAGCCCCAATATTCACGTTCTAAAGTTTGAAACAATTAGGTACACCCCAGTTTGGAGAAATGTTTTATGAACGATTGACCCCTCAGATGCCACTTTCACGTCCATTTAAGTTCCAGGTTAGTTTTACAAGTAGAAGAAATGGAAACATCTGCCACTTTTAAAGTCTAAAGTAGGACCTCAATATATGAAAGTATATCGTGTCAAAATCCATGTAAGATCTACAATTATTTTATTCGAATTCAATACCTGTCGATTCCTTTTAACCTGCGAATTGAACATGTGAGCGTTAACAAAAAATGCACATTAACATTCACTGTCGGACCGACCGTCTGTGCAATAGTTAAAAACCGCAATTCTATCGATTTTAAGGTAATGTAAAAGGGGCATCTGCGGGAGTCAATCATTCATAAAACTTTTCTGCAAACTCGATGTACTGAATCGTTTGAAATTTGACCACATACATGTGGTAGCCCTAAAGAAGATTCTGACACCCATGATATTTTGTAAAAAAAAAAAGTATTCAGATGTGTATGAACGAATTAAAAAAAAAGTTAATTTCATGTATTTCAGAACTTTCTTTAGGGCCTCCATATTCACGTGGTACAGTTTCAAACGATTCAGTACACCTAGTTTTGAAAAAAAATTCATAAACAAAACCTCTTCGATGTCACTTTTAGATCACTTTAAATTCAAATGGACCCGATAGAATAATACTGGAGGAGAATTATATAAATTCATAGGGGAGAGTTGCTTATATCTTATTACCGCTTAAATCGTATCACTACTGGTCTTCTCGCAGGAGTAATAAAAAACTACTGGCTCAGAAAATGGCGAGAAAACTAATAAGGTTAAGATTTAGGCGGTGGCATGGTATAGGCAGCTCTCCTAAACAGTTTTTGACATTGCTAACATATTTCTTTAAGTATGTCTCCTTTTATCTTGTTGATATTATGTATCTCCTTTAATGTGCTCGTCTCCTCAAGGATTAATATTCCTTGAAGAGTCTCGGTCTCCTCCATGGTGCCGGTTTCCTCCAGGGTGTCTCTTCAACTGCTTCTGTCTCCTTCAGTGTCTCCAACTCCTCCAATGTTTCCGTCTCCTCAAATGTCTCCGTTTCCTCAACTTCATTAGGATCGACAGCATTGCCTAAAGGACGGCTATTTTTTTTCTGCGGGTCTGTAAAGTAAAATTTGTATATCATTACGAAAGTTTTTTTTTAATCGTGCAACATATTATACATTAATAATGAATAGTTGATTAGAAAGGTAAGTTTTTTGGGCCTAGTGAAGATACGATAAGAGGAAAAATTAAGTCATTGTTTTACAATCTTAATTCAATAACAAATTATCAAATACTCCGTGTTTACCTTGTCTCAAAAAGTGGCATTAATTCCTGCTGATTTTTTTGTGAAGTTTAAATAACATAACAAGTTCTTGATCGATCAGTTCATTCTCTGAATAGTACAAATAAATGTACTTACTGTCATACACCTATTTCTTTCAGCTGAGCGATTTTCTTAGTTACGTATCTGTTTGTTTTGTCAGCTTCGTCTTCAGCTTGAAGTGGTCATTTTCAATTCTCTAATCAGATAGTAACGGTACATTTCTGTAATGAAAAGTGAAAAAATGTAACATACACATGCAATACGTTAACGTGCACGTTTAATTCAATACCCTTAACTGCACGTAATTTATTAGGATTTAAAGCTCCTTCTGGTTTCTTGGCCTCCCGATTTTTATTACTACTACGTCCTGTTATTGTACTTACGGTAAGTACATCGTAACCGAAGACTGCTACCAAAATATTTCGGACGAATTTTTGCTTTGTCGTTATCTTCACATTATAACCTGCTACTACATATGCATCCTTGGAGATCCACACTCCACGTCCTAAATGAATCTGAAATAGAGAAAAAATACTTTAAATACTATACGAAGACAAGAAGATTCAGAACTAGATCATAAATAGATATTTCAGTTACCTACCCGGTCTAAACTTTCGTGGCCAATCGGCGCAAATGGTCCTTCTTTATTTTGTTCTTCGAGAGTTCTTTCAATTCAGAGAAAATTGCCGAAGAAAAAAGAATATTGAACTGTTTTAAAATAAGAATTCCAACAATAGAGTTATGTACGCTGCGAAAAAAATTTCAGCGAACCAAAGAATTTAATTTAACAAAATCTTTGATACTATTTAAAAAATATTTTCCTGATCCAATAAACATTTTTTCTTAGTGTATACATTGAAAATAGTACTTTTAAACGAAGTACTGAAGATATAATTTTCAATTCAATGTGTTTGAAATAAACTTGATTTAAATTATATTATACATTTTTATTATAAAATGCTCGTTCTCAAACTCCAATCCTTCCACATAGTAGTTCCCTATTGAAAACCCCTAAGTTTCATTCATATTGAAATTAAAAATAATACAAATTATATAATGTCGAATGGAAAGTTTTTGAAATGTAATAAATTGAAATTTATCCGAATAAAATAAAAAACTCTTAATGTTCGTGTGCTTTAATGCTTCATTTTGTATCTGCCGAATAATTGGAAAAATAAACATTTTTCAAGTTTCAAAAACTCAAATAATAATCCAAAAAATGTCAAGATTTATTAGAACTTTAACTTGGAGAAACTACTGTAGTGTTACGTCTGGGAAGATCGAAACAGGGAAAAGAAATAGAAGAATTTTTTCGGAAATCTAAATTTTATTCTACAATGATAATTTCGGGGCCCCCTTGAGAATGAGAGTCCTCCACCCGGCTTTCTTCTCCTGATTTTTGTACGGGAAGCAGATCGATCGGGATCAGCCTCCACTCAGGTATCCGTATTTCTACGGACGAAAGCCTAGGTGGAACCGCGCGGTCAGTTTTCCTTGGGGTTGTTGACGCTTCGATTAGCGCCTTGATGGTCTTAAGGCGCCGCGGGGAGAGGACGAGTTTGGTGGTGGATTTGCCGGTGTTAGTAGGTTCTCGGGCGGCGTTCCGTTCCGTGCGTCGGTGGGGTGGTCGCCTGGTAGGGCGTTTAGGGCGCCCCTCTGCCTCCGCGAAGGTTTTGAGCAAAGCTACTCTCCTTCCCGCCCGCCTAACCATCTACGGGGAAGGTAAGATGAAACTTAGGGTTATGTAGAGGCTGGTGGTGTAGAGTGCCGTGATGAAGGAGATAAAAAGGGGTAGGGGATTCGTATATGGAAGGGGGTGCGTGACCTAGCCCCCGCGCCCTCCTTACGATTGAGGAATTGAAGAATTGAAGGGAATATCCGAAATACAGAAGGGGGTGCGTGACCTAGCCCCCGCGCCCTCCTTACGATTGAGGAATTGAAGAATTGAAGGGAATATCCGAAATACAGAAGGGGGTGCGTGACCTAGCCCCCGCGCCCTCCTTACGATTGAGGAATTGAAGAATTGAAGGGAATATCCGAAATACAGAAGGGGGTGCGTGACCTAGCCCCCGCGCCCTCCTTACGATTGAGGAATTGAAGAATTGAAGGGAATATCCGAAATACAGAAGGGGGTGCGTGACCTAGCCCCCGCGCCCTCCTTACGATTGAGGAATTGAGAAATTGAGGAATTGAAATGAAAGGAAATAGAGAATTCTATGGGCCCCTCAGCAAGTCCTATGCGGACTTTTTCGTTATTGGGATTAAGGAAGGAAGAAAAAAGATGGAGATTTTTGTTAGGTTTACAAGGTTTTATTAAATTAAAGGAAAGTTTGGGTTTTACAAGTGTAAGGTGTGTGTGTGTGTG